CAAGGAGCCAACACGTTGGTCCTGGTCTATAATCTCTGTCCAGTGAGACCCTGGTGAACAGACCACCCACTACAGAGGGAGCCCAGTCCTGCTTCCTGGGCACCAGAGCCCCCCAGGACCCACTCTCCCAGGAGCAGACAAGCTTTGTCCTGGGGGTTGGGCCACCCCTGATAGAGAATGGTGAACTCTGGGCCAGTTCTTGCCTCTACCACATGTCATAAACAGGGAGATCAGGGAGTGAGGATCGGGAAGCAGAGGGCTAAAACAACTTCAAAACACAAGAATTCCTTTTGGAAAAACTTGCAATACCAATGTCCTTTCCCTCCTCTCTTTCCCAAAGTCACCTGGGCCATCTACCCTCCCAGGTGGAGTATAAGCAGAGTATGCCGGGAGTCTAAGGCCTAGCTGACTGCAACGTCACACAGTGCGAGTGCGAGGTCCCAGGAGGCTCCAAGGAGCAGCCTGCGAAAGGAAATGCTGACTGTCAAGCCAGCTCAGCCGATGAGGAACTGACCTTTGGGGAAGAAAGCGCTGGTGCCAGTGATTATGCCTGGCTTAACACTTGCCTCTACCACATGTACTGAAAGTTTAACCCTTGGCTCTTGTTCCCATCAGGGTTGTGGCAGCCAAAAATGTTCAACGAATCCAGCAAAGTGATAAACTGTTTGTGCTAATACCTTTGATTCCAGCCCCCTCACTGGAGTGTTGGTATTTTAAGCATCCTTTTGATCTACAAGTCCTTCTAAGACCCATCAATAAACACACTAGGTTTAAGTCAGAAATGTTAAGAGAAGGCCAGGACTCTAATCCCTTCTGCTTGGTGGAATGCACCACGAGATATGTATCACATGCAACCTGAGAAAAGGTGAGGCAGGCCATGCAGATCAGGGAGGTGTCCCGGAGGCCACCATGAGTCTTAACCGGATTCAGCCAAGGTCTAGCTCCAGCTAACGCCTAGTTATCAGCTCAAACATTTTCCAAAACAGTCTAAGTTTCCTGGGGGAGAGGGTTGTGATAGTACCATTTGTTTACCCGTGGTGAGGCTCTGGCCCGTGGAGAGGGCTGTATTGTTCCTGCGCTGGGAAGGCCCCTGAACCCCCACAGCGGCTCTGACATACGTTCCCCCAGGACCTTCCAAGTCCTCCAGGACCTGGGCTTGGCCAGGTAGAGACTCCAAGAGGGCCTTCCCCCACCGCAGGAGAGGGAACCGGCCTTGTAACTGATAAGTGGGGGCGGGCAAACCAGTTGGCTCCTCTACCACCTGCCTGCCACGCCTGGGCTTTCAAAACTGGTCTGGCAGGCTGCCAGGCCTGGGGTGGGGGCAGTGACGACAGGCTGGTTATTGGAAAGGTCCCATCCCTAGCCCAGGAATTTTGTTTGGTTACCATGGTGACCTTCATTACAAGTGGCCTGACTAAAGCACGAGGAATCTGTTACTTAAAACCAGTGCCCCACAGAGCCCAAAGCCTCAGGAACAATGCTTATCAGCGGCCTGTTCCCCTGACCCCATACTCTGTCCCCTCCCTGGCTGAGCCTCTCAGCTGCCTCTCACACTCAGGATGAAGAGAAGGGACCAGCACAGGCATCTCCAAGCTTGCACGGGACCTCTCACATTCCTTGGCCTGGCCTGCCTTGGAACTCAGGTCCAAACAGGCAGCGTGCTGCCCCCCTGAGGCCCCCTGAGGGCTGGCCAGGGACAGTCCGGGCAGCACAAGTGTCCAGGGCTTAGTTGGAAGCCCTCAGGATTTCAGGAAGCTGCTCAGGGTGTCTCATTCCCACCATGCCAGGTTCACACTGTCCCTGCAGGACTGTCAGTCTCTGTCTCATCACGTTTCTGCTTTTCAAACTCAAACGCCATTAACTAAAGGTCATTCCACAGCACAAAAATCGAGGTGCTTTTTGTTTTGCTTTCTAATTTATGAATTCAGGAGGATTTTCAAAAGTTCAGCTCTAGGAAAGCTGGGTTTTCCTCCAGGAGTCTTGAGACTGCCAGTGGGATGGGTGGCCTCTTGTGCAGTCAGGAAGCAGTGACACCCGCTCACAGAGCTTCTCTGCCTCCGCCTCCTGCCCCCGTGCATACTGCCGACCTTGCAGAATGTTAGTCTTACACTGTTTGTGCGCTCCCTCCGGACCCATCTGCTCTGCTGCCCTTGTACATGGGTGTAAACACACTGTGTGACTTTTTCTTGTCTGAGTCTCACGATAGACCTGGAGGCAAGAGGCAGGACAGATGTCTGTTTTGGCAGACAAGAAAACAGAGGCAAGGAAGGAAGGAGCAGGCTGCTGGAGGTGGCACAGGTGAGTGACAGGCATGATCCCATGAGGGCAGGGACCTTACTGTGGCCCACAGATGGAAGGGGGTTTGATCCACCCACAGGTATCCCCCTGATCCAGGCTTCCTCTAGCCCTGACACAGGCTGGCCAGCCTCTTCCTTCGCCAAGGCCGCCTCTGGGAATGCACAGCAGGTCTGCAGAAAGAAAATGGCTCTCAAAGGCCTCGGCACCTGGGACAGCCATTGGTGAGGGGCTGAGTACAGACAGACGAGGACTATGGGCTTTTAAGTACCCCTGAATGCAGGTCTTGTCAGGGACACTGAGGTCAGAGCAAAGGGATTTTGATTTTTCTGTTTGCTGGCAGTGCTATTTACTGAACTGTTTGTTTCATTAATGGCCGTGGCAATAGCTGGAGCCACACACAGCTTGTTCCCGATGCAGGGAGCAGCTGGAGAAGCAGGATGCAGTTTCAACTGAAGAGCAATGACATTTTTCAGTGATCCCTGACTGGTAATAGACTCAGTGACATTTCCTGGTAATCCATGGGCTTCTGTACTCCAGGGTTTTACCTGTGGGCAACAGGACTGACTTCTTTGCACAGAGCCATGGTCATACCCTACAGTCTCTCCACAAAGCCGTGTGGCAGGTGGATTTTCTACTCCCACTCCCAGCCTCACACACGTATACATGTACATACACACACATTAAAGGTTAATTTTCTTTTTTTCTTAAAACAGGTTTCTCTCACAGTCCTGGTGGCTGTTTTTACCAGTTAGTTTTGCAGCTAAAACAATGCCTAATGCCTGGCCTAGCCTCCTGTTTCTTCTGCGACACATAATCGGACCCAGGGGCCAGGCGAGGAGCCCCTTCACCACTCTAGAATTCTAAGCCTTTCTTCATGATAGTTTCTGTTGCCCCCGAAGCCTACATGACAGTGGAGTACCACAGACATGCAGCACACACACCCAGGCTCATGTGCTGGCAGCGGACAGCCCGGGTCAGGTTCTGCCAGACAGGCGTGAGGATGGGGCTTTGAAGAAAGCACGGTAACGGGTACTGCAAGAGGAGGACCTTTGTCATTCAAATACTTACATTAAAAGTAAAAACTACGACACAGTAGTTTACTGTATTGTACTTGGGATTAATGAGACAGGGCAACTAATCCCTGTCCACATACACTGTTTTGTCTGTGTTTTTAATATTCCCTAAGCTACCTGCCTTTTAAAGTACACTGATTTCAATTTTAATAATCTCCAAATGCAAGGTCAAGAGTCAGGGCAGTCTGCTGAACACAAAGAATAGGCCACGCTGAGTTGGCCACACACCATCTCTGCTTACACTTGGCCATAGGGACCTGCTTACACTGGAACCCACTTGGGCCTGGATGGTGTGTGAATGGGCAGGGTCCCAAGTTAAGGTACTGCAGGTGGAGGGTCAGTCTGTACTAGAGCAGATTCTCAGAGGATGAATGCCTACCCTTAGCCTTACTCAATGGGGCTCCCTCTTCAGTGGGGCACACTGGGGAGCTTATGGTTAGGATGCTCAGCTGTTTCCAAAGCACCTTTTTATGTCTTGGCAAGAACAAAGCCATCCCCAGAGTTCCAACCCACAGCCAAGGCCACCTCTGAAGGGGCCAAAGGCACAGGAAAGCCTGAACTTTGCCCTGGGGGTCAGCCTGTCCCTGATGGGCTAGGGATAGACAGAGGTAGATACTCAGGCTCCCCACATGAAGGGAACCCCCTAGGCAGGGACAATCACAGCTTCCCTTCATCGCCTGTCACAGCTGTGGCATCCAATTTCTTCTAATTCTTTGTTCACCTTTTTTCATTGTCAGCATGAGGCACCTCTCAGGGTAACCAGGATGGCACCTCTTTCTTGTCATCTGAAGCAGGACAACCTTTGGCTGGTTCTAAATGGTCCTCGTTCAGACCCTAGGGTTGAACTCCCTAAGGGCCCTCATCCTGGGCTCACAAGATTCAGAGAAATAAGGTCTATTACACTTAGTGTGTAAACTTGCCCCTAAAGGGGGGAGAAAGGGAATAACAGACAACCTCCTTTGCACTGGAGGAGCAACGCACCCTCCGGCCTCAGCTGTTGCTCCCCAGTGTCCCGGTTGGGTGGCAGCAGGTCCTCTGTGTGTAGGTGGGACGGGACGATCTAGTCCTGCCCCACCCACCACAGGGCCACGTGCATATGAACCCTGCTCCAAAGAGAAGGGCATCTGGATGAGGCGGTAAATGGGGGCGTGGAGTAGCTGAGGACAGAGGGAGAACACAGGACCACTCTGGAGGGAGATAACCCCTTCCTCCCAACTGCCCATGGCCTGCTTGGAGGCAGATGGATGCCTCACTTGGCCTCTGCCAGCCCAGAAAGTGATAGGATCCCATCCTTGACTGGCTGTGCCAGTGTTGTGATTAAGTTACACAAGTTGGTGTTTCCATGAGGCTCAAATACAGAGCCCAGGGCAGGACGGGAGCAGCCTGCCCAGCTCACTGGGGCCTGCGTTACTGCACAGAGCTCATCACTCCCCACCTGGCATCTCCTGGCCCAGACTACCAGGGCCATTCCTTGACCTTACAGGTTCTTACCCACCCTTGTTTCCCCAGCCAGGGAGTGTGCATGCGGTAGGTGCTTCATCAGTGTTTGACGGCTGGCTATGTGGCAGGGTGGGGTGGGCATGCATCCTACATCTGTGGCCTGCCAGCCCGAGCCCATAGGGGACTTACTTGAAGTTCTCAGGATGCTCTGCGATGGCCATGCTGATGACATCCAGGGCATGCTGGTAGTGTTTCTGGGCAGAGAAGAGGAGCGCCAGCAGGTGGAGGGCATTGGCATCATCTCTGCACACTCTCAGGGCTTCCTGCAGCTGTTCAATGGCACTAGGGATCTGCCAAGACAAACCAGCCTAGTGGTCTTCCCCAAGGCCCACAATGTGCCCCAGGACTTTGGTGCCAGGCACCAACCACTGAGTGTGCACCAGACTCAAGTGAGACCCTGGCACTGGGGAGGCAAGGCTGGCTCTAAGAGGAGGAAACACCTCCAAGCAACATGGCAGAGGGGTCTGCTGTCCCAAGTCAGACCCAGGAAGCCACTGCTGCTCCTACTCTAGAATAAAGAGGAGCAGACTCACAGCACAGCATGAAGGATTTGGGTGGATGCTGGGAAGTACTTCCCTAATCGGAGGCGCTGGGGGTGTGAGAAGCAGCCACCCAGACCGCCAGCTACAGAGCTGGTGGTGCCTGGACCCCCATCCCTGAATCTGCTCATGCAGTGATGGGGTAAAAACAACCTGACGTGTGGCTGACAGTTAAATGCTTCTTCCTTTTCAGAGCTCACAGGAGCAAGAGCTCGGGCTCTGGGGAACATGGGGTGTGGATCCTAGCTCTGTCACTCGCTTGAGCCTTAGGGCAGGGACTTCACTTCTCTGAGCTGCAGGTCTTACATTGAAGAATGAGGGTAATGGTCCTATTACAGTGGCTGAGAGGATGAGACAATGTGTGAAAATACCCTGTAGAGTACTGCACACATTTGAAATTATGAATTTTCCCTCTCAAGCCCCAAAGCCACAAAGAGGTGTATCCACTCAGGGCCCCTCTACCAGGAACCTCATCAGATTTTTTAGGAAGTCTCGCTCCTTACCAAACCTCAGACATCAGCCTCCTATGCTCCCTGAGGGTGCCTACAGGGCAGGCCAGCTGGGGCCTTGGGTCCTCAGTGTGCCTGACCCCTGCCTGGTCTCCACCTGGCCTCTGCACAGGCTGTGGACACTGGCACCAGGCCCAGAGTCCTCCCACGGGAGCTTCCTTTGTGGAGAGGTTAAGGAAATTGAAGGAGGAAGGTAAGGTCAGTGGAGCCACTGGCCTGGCAAGTGTTTTGGTATGGAGTGAGAGGGAAGGGGGTTCCAGGGATGGAGTCAGGGTGCAGTGAGGGAAAAGCTGGTGGACGCAGGGTGAGGGGAAGGTGAAGCAGACAGTAACATGAAGAGGCTGGCTAACTGAATGAACTGCGACCGGGGAGGCCAACTGCCAGTCAAGTGCCGGTCCCCAAATAGGTCAGAAGAGCAGGACTCAGACCCCCTGAGCTCAGGCAGGGGGGCTCTGGATAGACACGGGGGTTCAGTGCTGGCCCGGCCAGTTCCCAGTCCCTGAGCTCATGAGGACCTCAGTTCCCCAGGTACAGAACAGGGCCAGGGCACCTTACTCATGCGACCTGGGGCTCACCCAGGCCGGCAGCCCCTACATTAGCCGACCATCAGCAGATGGAGGTGCTGTTGGCTTCTCTCCAACTGTCTGGAGCCCAGACGCTCCTGGGCAGTGTGGTCAAGAGAGCTGTGCCTCAGGAGCAAATGCCAGCTTGCAGTTCCTGAGCAGGCCAGTGTCCAAGCTCGCTGGGTCAAGGCCCCTAAGAGGCCCTGCTGTGGGGCTGGGTGTGCACAGAGCACCAGTCTGATGGCTGTGGCATGCACAGGAAAGCAGCCAGGGGGACAGGGAGCCCTGGCTCTTTTCTGAAAGGTAACCCACTGGGTGGGCAACTGCCTGCTCTCACTCCCTGAACAGTGTCCTCAGCACCAACAGCTCAGCTGCTCAGGTTGGGGAAGGAAGGTGGGTCAGCCTGGAGAGCAGTGGGTGGTGGCGGTGGTCCCACTGGGGCAAAGGTGGTCAATGGATGGGAGGCCCCATAAGGTCCTACAGGCTGAGCCCAATGGCAGTGTCCACAGGATCAGGGTAAAGCTCTGGGGTCACAGAGAAACAGCTCCATGTGCCAATCACTCTGCTCCTCCAGACCCTTGGGGAAAGCCCAGTGGAAGGTAAGGACACAAATGCTTATTGTGGTCATGTATCAATCTCTCAGGAGACTGAAATGTAATAGGGGAAGTGAGGGCAGAGAATAGTTGCTCTTCCTGTGTGCCCACCAGAGGCCAGAGGCTTCATCACATTATCTGAGATGGGGTATGAAGGTGCGCTCATAACAGATAAGGAAACAGGCTCAGAGAGGTCAAGTCACTTGCAAAGGGTCACACGGCCAGTAAAAGCAGCCCCCAGAAACCTAGAGGTTAGGAATTGACAACCTACCTGGCGGACGAGGGCGAGCTGCAGGGAAACATAGAGAATGACCTGGTGGTCGCCAGGTGCCAACTGCTGGGCTCTGTACGGGGAAACAGCATGACAAGTCAGTCAGCAAGGGTTGAGCAATGAGTGTATGACATGGACCTCCAATATACCAGCCCTGTGCTGGGTGCTACGGGGCAAGATGTTGGAGATTCTGCCTGGCCCTGACTTGGAGGGTGCCCAGACAGGAGATGGCCCGGGCAAAAGCCATGGGCAGCAGGTTCCCAAAAGGCTGGCTCTGCTGAGGTGGGGGGCAATCTGGGAGGGGAGCATTGGAGAGTGAGGGATGCCCCTTGCCTCTGGGCAGCTGTTGGTCTGGCTGTGGCCCTGCTGTGGCCTTGTACAGAGCCTGGTGCCTGCCCTCTCCACTGACAGGGGGGAGCACTTCCCTGAGGATGGAGGGGTGGGAATGGCCTCTATGGGCAAGAAGCCTTGGGAATGAAAGGCTGGTGGGGGAAGGGAGAAGCTCAGGAATGAAGAGCTGGCCCTAGGAGCTCAAAGTTGGTGACTGGGCTGGGAATCTCCTATATCCCTGGGTTGAGGAACAACCTGCCCCAGACAGGGGTTGGATGTGCTATGTGTTCCCACACGGCTGGCACGGTGAGTCTGGAGCAGGCTCCTACCAGACAGCCTCCACATCAGCACTCAGAGGGAGCAAGATGCACAAAGCTCAGAGGAAGTGCCCGGCGATGGGCCAGAGAGACACCCAGGTGGGTCCCAGGGCTGTGGTAGAAGGAGGGGTTCAGCAAGGGTGGGTCAGGCCATCACTGGGGAGGGGCTAGGAGGAGGCAAACACCATTTCTGAGTCCCAGCAACACGTAAGGCATGGGGCAAGGTGCTTCTCTTCCTTTATGTCATCTAATTATCACAATAATGGATTACTAGTTGTGTTTTGGAGCCCTGAGCTCAACAGGGCAGGGCTGAGCCTGGAAGAGGGGTGGAACGGGGGACAGCACTCCACCAGTGTTGAAGGGCTCAACCTGCCCAGCCACCCCAAAGGCCTGTCCTTGCTTCCTGTGTGAGCTCTCACAGCCTCAGTTTCCTGATCAGTGAAACGGGGTTAGAAACCTTTCCTCTGTCTACACCAGAGGGCCCACTGAGATAAGGCATGTGAATGCGCCGCCTAGTGCCCTGGGCAAGGACGCCCTCCTCACCTCTCCAGCATCTGCAGTGCTTTTCGGTGAAATTCATCTTGCTTGGATTTCAGAGTCGCTGCAGGAGACAGGATGGAGACAGAGCCATGAGGGGTTGCTGAAGGGGTACAGACCCAGCTCTGCCCTGTCCCAGGTCACACAGGCTCTGCAGGGAGCGGCGCCATCAGGGGCCTGTCTGGCAAATGCTTGCATTCATGCAGCTCTGGGCTGATGCCACCCACTGCCCTGGTTACTGGGGGAAGGCTAGGGTGGGGCTGCGGAGGTCCACTTTGCCCCAGCTTCCCTGCATGTTTCTTGGCACATCAGGTCCTTCTACTGCTCTGCCTTCTTTGCCACCTGGGCCAAGTTGACCCTGTCAAAGGCCCAAGCCTCAACACAAAGGCTCCTACCTCCGTCCTGGCCACACGCCACCTTGGGCTTCCTTACCAACAAGGCCGTTGTTGCTGCTTTTTTAACCATTTCAACAAATTTTAAGTACAATTCAGTCGCATTGAGTGCATTCATACTGTTGTGCAACTGTCACCACTCCATCTGCAGAACTTTTCATCTTCCATAACAGTGTCCATTAAACACTAACTCTCCGCCCCCAGGCCCCAGTCACTTCTATTATACTTTTCCCACAAGGCTTCTCACTTTAACGCAAACCAGGCATCTTTCTGGTAAACTGAATCCTACTCTAAATGCGCTAGTGCAGGCATTTGAAGCCATAGCTACACGCTGAACCACCTGGGAGACTTCAAATAACTGTCGTAGGCCCCAGTGCAGCCCAAGTCCAGCACCCAGATTACCACTCCAGTCTCAGTCTGGGTGGGGGCCCATCAGTCCTCTTCCCTCAGACTGCAGGGAAACAGAAGTAGGTGGCTGCCTCATGGATCTGGGGACATACAGCTGAGCTGGCAGGGTTGGGGAGAGAATGCCAGGCTCAGGGCAGTGGGAGTGGAATCCATCCACCAAACACAAGTATGTATTAGCATCTGCTGTGTACTCAGTACTACACTATGTGTTGAAGGGGATTTAAAGGACCCCAGAAGATCACAGTAGGGCTTCAGGGTAGAACTGAAGCAGAGTGAAGATATTGCATGGTCAGGGCTGGCAACATGTACAGACAGCAGGCACCATGGGAGATTCGATGGCAGATGTCTACATGGCGTGGCTGAGAAGCTGGGGCTGGGCCTGGACGGGTGGGAAGAACTGGTCCATGAACTAGGAATGTTTGAGAGAGGTGAAGTCTGGGAAACAGAGTAGAAATGGGACTGAGGGTGTGTGTATACATGTATGAAAAAGGCCCGGGGCTGTTTTTGTCCTGGGAGCAGGAAGGACTGTGCACATACACATGCACACATGCCTGGGAGGACACCGGGAGGCCTGAGGTGCCCTAAGCAGAGGCTGCTAGGCCCTGGTACTCACCATCGGTGGCCTGAAGGCTGTAGGTGAGACCCAGTGCCAGGTAACCCTTGGAAAGGAACTCCCCGGCTTCTTCCCCGAGGTCAATAACCATCATGGCAAAGTGCTCCGCGTCCTCCAGCTGCAAAGAGGAGAGGCAAAGGTCACTGGGAGGGCTTTGCTGGCCCTGGCATGTGCACTGCTCAGTCACCAGCCTGGGATCTAAGAACTCCTTTTCCTTATATGTGGGCTGCATGGCCAGACAGTCTAGGTATCTTGTCTGAGGCCACACAACCATTGTTTGTAAGAATCAAAGCTGTTTCCTCTACCAGTGACTCCCTGGACTCTTCCCTTAGCCAAAGGGCTTTGTGTTCAAGGTCACAGGGCACTGCCGCCCATGTTCCAGGCATCTCAGCGGCCCAAGCTTGCTTTGCTGAGAGAGTGGACCCAGGACCAGGCCAGTCTGGGGCAGCTCCTTACCTCATCTGGCTTCTGCAGATGCCTGGGTCTGTGCTTCCCTGCTCAGCAGAGAGAGGGAATCCAGGGGCAGATGGGAGGCAGGGCTCTGGGACTGGACCTCAGGGACATTGCCTTCCCTGCAGAGTGGGCAGGCTGCTACCCTGGTTCCATTTGTGAGCTAGCTCCCTGACACAGGGTGCTCCAACTTTTCAGGGGAAAAAGGCCTGGGGCTGTTTTTGTCCTGGGAACAGGAAGGACTGTGCCAGTTGGAAAGGGTCCAATTGGCATAGGCCATGTGTGCGCACATCATCACACACAACATATGACGTGAAGAGGGACACACTAAGCAGTCCTCGTGAGCTTCCTGGGGCACCTACAGTGTTAAGACTAGTCAGGGAGGCAGGGGAGAGCTGGGGGCCTCAGCTGGGTGCCCACTCCGGCCCATAGGCTTCCAAGAGGAACCCCTCCTCCTTAGCCTGGAATGTCATCTGCCCACATGCCTGGCATGGCAGTGTACCAGCAATCATGTCATGAAGAACAAAGATTGGTATTGCCCCAGGGCAGGGGGGCTGAGTGAATCATACCCAAAGCCCACAGCCACCCAGATGTCTAGGCCCCCTTGTGTGGGGCATCTCCCCCTCAGTAGAAGCACACAGACTCAGTCAACAGGGAGCTAGATTCAGACCCAAACTAACTTTGTCACCCAAGCCACTGCTGGTCCCGCCCTGCTTCTGTCCCTATCACCCTAACCCAGCAGGAAAGGAGGCAGCTCTGTGTATCTCATGGCCTGATCACTGGCCACATTTGGGGGTGCTGGTGTACTTTCCCTCCCTGGATGTTGAGACCCTGAGACAGAGGCTACCAGCTGAGGGGAGGCAAGTTGGGCTGAGTCCACAATTTGGGTATAGCTGTGATGAGCTTTATGCAGGAAAAAGGCTGATGGAGCAGAGAACCCACTGTGCAGGGCAGGAAAAACTAAAACCAAAGTAGAAGAGAAGCAGGGCAGGTGAACTGAGAGCCTAGAGAGAGATGGCAGAGGAGGGCTGAATCCCTCCGTGGCCTGGCCACCAACCCTGACTAAGACTGGTCTGACCAGGCAGCCTTCGGTCTCCTCATGGTTGGGCTCAAGCTGCCAGCCTAGGCAGAGGGCTGCCTTCAGGCTGGTGGGCAGGTCACCAAAAGGGGGGAGTCTAGAGAGTTGAAGCTCTAATACCTCAGGCCCAGGACCGGGGTTTGTGGAAGACTGTGGCTCAGGAAATGCCGTGGCTCGTGAACCTCTGCTGGCTGGGTGGGCCCAAAGCTGTAGACATTAAGCTCTGTGCCCTGGAGCACCTGACCCAGCAGGACTCAGAGGGCTGTGGGGGCCTAAAACCAAAGCCATGCTGACAGACAAGCACTGGAGGACAAGCTCCCAGACACAGGCTCCAGTCCTGGCTCACTCAGCACCTAAGGGCAGTGAGGCCTTGAGCAAGTCCCTTAGTTTCTGTGCCCCAAAGATCCTATTCTGCAAAATGGGGACTTACACCCCCACTCCAACCGATCTTCCGCACAAAGCTCCACCAGGCTTCATGCTGGGCCCAGCTAGGGATGCCCAGCTAGGGATGCCCAGTGGGTAGGATGCCTGTGTGAGCATGCACGGAATCCCTGTGGGCTAACACAAAGGACGGTCCCCACAGGACAAGGTGGCTCTTACCTAAGGCTCCACTGTGCAGTGTTGGCACGGGGCTATGGGAGCCCAAGAGAGGGGCGACTGAGTGGCTGTAGTTGTCCAAAGCGGCCTCATCGCGGAGGGGACACATGAGGCACCAAGGGAAGGTAAGTGAGCACACAGCCCCTTGCTTCCTTCCTAACATCCCCCTGCTGAGGCAGCTCATCTCACATTCTGTCTGTATGCATCATTATGCCTCACACAGGAGCAAGCTTTTTTATAAACCACCGAGTGCAAGTTACAAAAAGAATCCAGAAACCTACTTTACTCCATGTATACACACGCTTTCTTCCCATGGCCATGTCCTGCTACTCAGAAAACTGCTAGCTTCTACCTCCTGAAACCCAGGTAAAGCAGGTGCCAAGAAAAAGGCTCAGCAATTGCTGGCAAATGGGGAAAAGTTACTCGCAGTTCAGAATAGTCTGGATTAATAAGGCTCACCATCCTTTAGCTTTAAAAAGTGAAAACATACATCCTTAGCTTGTCCAACCTGTGGTCCACTTTGACCCCTAGGTCAGTAGCTTTCCTTGGCCAGTACTTGCCTACCTTGTCCATGTAGTTTGAGCACAGGGTCAGCATTTGTCTCTACTCAAACTCACAAGGCTTCAGTGTACCATCCCTCTACATGGCCAACACTATTTTGATTTCTATTACCTACCACAAAGCAGGCTTTTTGTATGTGAAGTCACTGCAGTGATAATGAAGGAAAAGAGGTATTATCAATTCCTTTAAATATGAAAATATGCAATATGATAATGCACAGTATTAATATACATGCATGGTCTAGCCTGTCCAAGTGAAAAATGCTGTCACAGCAAAAACAAAAAACAAAAACAGACCCAAAGTATATATTTAAGTATATTTTAAAAGCAAGAAATATATAAATAAGTATAGATAATGCACCATTCCCTTCATCTAAGACAAGAGTGGGAATCCTAAAGTCCTTGGGAATGTGGCTTTACCACCTTTGTTCTGAAGTACTCTTACCTTATCCAAGTCCAGAATCAGCTCCACACTCATGAATAAGCTCTCCACGCAGAGAACAGGGCAGCCTAGTAGCTGAGAATACAAAGCTCTGGGGCCAGACTTCCTGGGTTCACTGCTCTGCCTCAGTTCCTTCTTTTATAAAATGGGTATGGCAAGTATCTGCCTTATAGACAGACATCCAGTTGCTGGGAGAACTGAATGAGGTAAGACAGTGAATACTCAGAGCAGTGCTTGGATTAATACAAACTACTATTAGTAGTTGTTGCAATTTTAAATCTATAATTAATCTTCCAGAAAATTTTTAAGTCTCAGCCTGACGGATGTGGCAAGTGCCATCTGAGTGGAGTCCCTATGCACCTTGTACATGATCACTGACAAATTAGGAAGTGGTATCAAAGATCCTCCTGGAATCTGGAGAGGGAGCACTATTGCCTGCCTTTTGTCTCTGGCCTGACACTTAGTCACAGAAAGGGAGTGACACTACACAAGGGCAAGCTGGGTTCCCACAGCACTGTGCAGTCCCCTCTGCCAGGCTGGCCAAACTCTCAGGCCCCTACCAGTGGTCCAGGGCACACATACATATAACCACTAACCTACCCTTTGTTACAATACTCAGCCCTACGGTGGGTAACACACTCGGATATTTTCTATGCTATTCTCTGATAGTCTGTTTCAGGTTTGTTTTTTTTATAAAAGAGTTCTCTTTTACAAACCACTAATGGTCTCAAATTGTGATATGAAAAACACTGCTCTGATCAAATGGTTGACTGAGCCGCCCAGTGGCTGCCGTCTACAACCACCCTGGTCACTTGTCTCCCTGCCTGCTACCACATTTGACCTTTTCCAATCTCCAGACACTTCCTCCTGTGGCCTCAAAAGCCAACAGCTGGTGGTTCTGTAGTTGTAGCCACTGATCTGCAAGATTAGCTCAGATTAGAGCACTGGGCCCTCCTTGCTCATCAAAATCCTTCTAGGGTGAGGGGTTTTAGCATTCTTTCCAGCCATTCCCCTCAGTGACATGCTGCTTTTTAGTATCTCCTTTATCTAAGGCAGCCAGTAACTGCCACAAAACTCCCCCACTCACTGCAATTCTAGATCCTCCCTTGCCCCCTGCAATTCTGGAGCAATTTAGTGTTCACCTGGAGTGTCATAGCATTGCAGTGACCTCATGGAATTGGTTTTTCATAACTGGAAGTTCTGACTCACAGGTAGCTTAGGGGACCTATCCAAGGTCACTAGGCGAGGAAGTGACAAAACTGAGCTTCCAACCCAGGTCTCCTGAGTCTACATCTGGATCTTTTTGAGCTGCCTAACTCATGGCTGCCCCCCGTGGTTCATTTTTCTCCTCCTCTCTGACCCTTTGGGAAAGGATGCATTCAAGGATATAATGTTTTGACCCTCTGCTTTTGCTTTCTGTAGTTAGGAAAAGTGTTTCCATGGCTTTACAAGTTCCTGCATCTCTCCAGTTTTCCTATTTTGGTCCCCACACAGACAGGCTCTGGCTTGCACGCTTTGCCCAGGCTCAGCTGCTTTCTGCTTCCAGGGCACCTCAATCATCCTGTAGTGGGCCCTAGAGGTTGTACCCTGTAATCTTCACCTTCTTCCTCCCTTCCTGGAAATCAGAGGAAGGTCCTTTCTGAGCCTGTAGAGCTTGTTTAAAGAGCACTGCTGGTTTCTCCTTAGTCCCTTCTCTCAGGGCCCAGGTTCTGTTGTTATCTGCACTCCTGAAAAGGAACTTTTTTCTTCCTGGGAAGAGCAGGCACTCTTCCTCATTTCCACAAGCTGGTGGCAGGAGAGCTGGCATTCTTTCTTTCCTGTCTCATAAACATGTAATCCATCTTTCTGGCTCTTCCCACCCCTGAATTTGGAAAATGAAGGCAAAACAGAAAACACACACTTCCTGAGAGCCTGCTGTTGTGAAGGGGCTGCCCTGGGGTGGCTGCCATTCACCAGGTACCTGCGATATGCCAGGCAAGGACACCCCGCAGCACTGTTCACAGCCACCTGGTGGCTGTGAGAGCTTCCAGGTTACAGATAAAGCACAGAGAAGGTAAATTACTTCCCCAAAGTCACACAGCTACTAGGTGGGTGGGCAGGGATTTGAACCCCACCTTCTGCCTCCAAAGCCCCGCAGTTTTCCAGTTCTCCATACTGCCCCTTCAGGGCAGAGGCTGAGAGGGCATCACAGACCTTTTCAAAGAGGGGCATGATTTACTTTTCTATTTACAACCTCCTCTCCTGGTGTGACACACGGCACACATGTACACACATGCACAAACCCCCAATCTCTTCTCCTAGGGAAGTTTTAACTTTTTAAATTAAATGAATTTTAAATAACTGTGTTTGAAGGGATTTTAAGTATTTACATCTCCCTTTCATCCTGTTTCAAATAACTTGGCAAGACACTGGCAAGGCAGGAGGCTGCCACGCACTGCTGTCACCCGGCCAGAACTTGGGACACCCTCCCCCACACCTAGGGAAGCCTCGGGCTAGGCATCAGAGCCAATGCATTCCCACCTGACCCCATACTCGCCCCAGCGGCAAACCCAACATCAGCCAGCACGTGACCATGCAGGACCCCCCCCCTAACTGGTCCCCTCCTGGGCTCCCAACGCAGGGGGCAACCTTGCTCTCAGACTCATACCCAGCCTACGGTGTCCCACACTGGCTCTGGGCATGAGAGTAAGACATGGGAACAGCAGGTGCTCCACCTCTGGGCACACGGCCACCCAGTCTGGTTTCACCCAGCACAACTTGTTTTTCAAATGTCCCAGTTTCAGCCTCCTTTCCTGCAACCCAGGCCAAATTGTCCACTTCCAGATTTCTGTGCCCGACACATGGGGCTTGGCTGGGCAATGGCTGGGTCTGCCGGGGACTGACTGAGCCAGAAGAGCTGTGACTACAGGAAATGCAGGTGGCGTCAGATGCCTCTCAGGATCTGGGCCCTGTCCTAGCAGCTCCCCTGCCCACTGAGGTCAAACCCATTCTTCCTGCTTGTGGCCTTGAGAACAAAGGGTGCTGGGAGGCCCCTCTCCTGGCCTCCTTGGAGAACAGGCTGCCCTTGATTACTCACAGCCTGCTGTCTGCCCAGCACCAACTCAGGGAGCCAGAGAGAACCGGGGAACCAGATGTAGACTTCCCACACCCATCCCTCTCAGCTGGGGTGGGTGTCACTCTATACGATATTAGCCGACACCTGCTACACGCAGGGTTCTCCGTCAGGGAGAGACGCTCAGGGTGCAGGACATGGTGAGTACAGAAGCCCCCAGTCAGCTGGGAAGACAAGTACCATATAAGGTGGAATTTGTTGCCAAATGACTGCCCTCCTCGGCAAGCAGGATCTACCCGATGAGCACCAGGCATTAACTCTGGGCTGGGGTTTCAAGAAGGAAGAAAAACAGTTCCTGCCCTCAAGAAACACATCAGTGACTACAGTGTGATGTGCTAAGTGTACAAGGCAGTAGAAACAGGGTTTTAGCGGGCTGCAGAGGATGGGGTTCCAGGTTAGGGAAGGCTGCCAGGAGCCCACCCATTCTCCCTAGCCACTGCCCGGGTTAAACCCTGGCTCAAACCAGCCCCCAAAGGCAAATGTGCTTCTCAGCTGAGGTTAAACAGCTCACCCTCCTCCCTGATTCTGATACAAGTCTGCATGTTTAAGTTTCCTTTTGGGCTTTTCTATTTATGTTGTCATTGATTACTTTGCTCCTAACTCATCTGATTTCAATTTGGACTGATTTGATCCTAATTTTATTACCATGTAATCTGAATGCACATAATTACTGTAATTATGCTGCTGAGGGAAACAGCTCCTCATGGCGGGAAGACCTAAATTTAGGGCTTCCTGGCAAGGCGGCTGTGGGCTGGGTGGACCCACAGCCCCCTCAGAGCTGGCAGCCTTTGAGAGCACAGATGCCCTACACCACCCCCCTCGGTGAGCCTGGTATTGGGGCACCATCCCAGTGACGGCCTTGACACCCCTCTCAGGAGCCTAGGGAACACACAGGAGTGTGAGCTGAGGGGTGTCGGCAAGCCCAGCTTCTCTGCATCCTGGGCTCACACTGCTACCCTCCACTGTTGTGCTCAGTCGAGGTGTCTCCGTCTGCTGGCTCATGCAGACCCACATCTCAGGAGCATTCTGCCTCTATGGTGCAAGGTGCCAACAGCTTCCCTGAAAAGACTTGGGGAGCAAGGGGCTTCCCTAATATGGGGCTAGGGAAAGTAGGTGTGATGGAAGACTCTGTCACTGGCCTAGATCCTCCATAGTCCAAGGCCTCCTCCTCCATGAAGCCTCCCTGGCCCATCCAGCCCTCTACATACTTTATGTCATTTATGCTATGTATGAGCAAGAGACTGTGGCACAGCAGGTTTATATACCTTACTCAAGACTACCCAGGGGGTGAGCAGTGAAACCCTTACCCACCTTGTTGTGTTCTCTCTTCCAGACTCCCAGAGCCCATTACAGATGGTCTGGAAGAATTCTCCCCAACTAAAATGATACCATAAAGCCTGGAGCCAGAAGCTATGCTTTCCTCTCCCAGCATCACCCACAGTGGGTGGCGCCAAAGCAGGGCCACATGGCACTTCAGACACCAGGATGTGAGGATCAGGGAGACAGATGGTGCTGTTTCCCCCACCCTTCTTGTGCTAGGGAGTCAGCCTTCTGCAGCAGAAGGGTGCATGGGCCACTGGGGTGGTGAAGTGGGGACCCAGGCGAGAGTTGGGCCAATTTCTAGTCCTGGAAGATTTAGTCCTTAGGGAAGGGTGTGAATTGGGGTTTCCCTTCCCAGGGCTGGATGCTCACAGAGTGGGGAGTGGCAGGAGGAGCTGGGGGGCCTGCTAATGCTGAAGAGCCTCCTGTACGCACCTGGAGCCTGGCCCTTGCTGCCTTGGAGCAAGATGGGCACATGACGAGGGCGAGGGTGGGCTGGGGTGTTGGGACAATAGGAAGCAGAGGATCGTGGAGGGGAGAATCTCCCTTCTGGAGACACTGGGCTTGGAGGGTAGATGAAGGAACTGGGGCTATTTCTCGGGAAGAGAGGGGATGTGGGTGGGGCAGATGGCCAACATGTGGGGAGACAGTGCACTTGTTTGTGTAGCTCAGGAGCAGAGATAGGACTGTGTCTGGCATCAGGAGGATGATGTGGAGGACAGGACTATCAGAAGTGAGCCCCCAGTGAGGGGAGATCTCCAGGTAGAGGCCCCACCTCAGGACCCCACGGGCCTGGAGCAGATGCCGAGGAAGTCTGGGCGAGGCGAGCACCAAGGCTGGGCCTCTCTGGGCTCTCTCACTTCTGCTGCTGGTCTGCTGGAGGGCCAGGAGCCTGCAGTAAAGACTGCCCGCTGGGAAAGGGCAGGCCTAGCAGTTCTGGGGCCTCAGGACTCAGCTAAGCAGGCCATGAGCACAGGGCAGGACCCGGAGGCTGAAGCTCTGAGGAAGGAGGGGACTGACAGGAGAGGCCACCTTCCCCTTCTGCTGAGAGCTGGTCTGGCCACTCAGAATTGCATCCTGCAGTAATCTGAAGCCTCTGTCCAAATGATGGGTTGGCCCAGGTGACTCCAAGGTCCTGTCCACACCCCCAGTGCTGGGCAGGGGGCGGCACCTCTTCTACGGACTCTCCACTTGGCTCGCTTAGACCACCTTCAAGGCCAAACCACAAACCTGACACCATCCTGCAGTGGGGGACCTGGAAACCTTCTCCACCCCCTCCCTACAGCTCTCCGTGCTCCCTGTACCCCTTATACGCACTGCACACACCCTCACACACAGCAACACACACACAAACCCTGTCTTGTGCCGACCTGCCGCCATCCTCCTGCAGAAGCCACCCCTGCCGCCCCGTCCCCACAGCTCACTTACCCAATGCAGGGACCCAATGCAGACCTTGGCAGCTATCAGGGGTACGGTGGGATCCGAGGGTCGCAATTTCACACACTCCCGCAGGAGTGACACGGCATAGGCCCACTGCAGAAGAAAGAGCAGGCAACACTGTCACTCACAGCCCTAGGGTGGGTCTTGACAGACAGCCCTGGGCCTCGTGCTGACAGCCAGACTTTACTGGGCATCCCTTTCCTCCCAAGGGCCAGGAAGAGGGCCTGGCAGCAGGAGCCCAGTCAGTGTTGGCAGGCAAGTCCCTCCTGGGCCTCAGTTTCCTCATCTGGAGAATGGAGGCTATGACTCTTGCCTAGAGTTGATGTGATGATAGCTAAGGTGACAACGGTTGGAAGCCCTTCAAATGGAATTTAAATGCGACCCACAGAAGGTTTAGGGCTAGAAAGGTGCTCTCTCAAGCTTCTGATTTTAACGTCCTCGCTTTACAGGTGACAAACCCACATGGGGCTTAGAGGCAGGGCCAGTGGTGGGGAGAACAAAGGCTGGCAGAGGAGGAGAAGGGAAGCCAAGCTGGCAGAGCCAGAGAGAACCTCCAAACAGGAATGTGGGGGGCCCCAAGGTTCCAGGGACCCAGCCATAGAGACGTGGCCGCACTGGACCTGCTAAGGATGGCCATGTGTGGTGGAGGGAGGGCCAAGAGGGCAGGGCGTCCAAAACCAGGTAAGGAAGGATACTACTAATCACAACAATGAGAAGAAAGCCAGCTAATACTTTAGGCCTTACTGTACACAGGCATGGTTACAGGCCAGAGGTCAGCAGAACACAGCCCCCAGGCCAACTCTGGCTTGCTTTTGTGAAGTAAAATTTGACTGGAACTCGGCTGCACCCGTTCATGTATGTACTGTCCATGAGCGCTTTCACAACGCAAAGGCAGAGTACAGTAGTTCCCACAGAGACTGTTGAGCCTACAAAGTCAAAAACAGCTACTATCTAACCTTGTACGGAAAGTCCGCTGACCCCTGTTCCAGGTGCTTTATTTACTTATTAATTTTCACAGCTTTCTATGAGGTAGGTGCTATGTCCCTATTTACAGATGAGGACACTGAGATGCAGAGAAGCTGAGCAGCTTGTTCAAAGCCACGCTGCTCACACGTGGCAGAGCTAGGGTTTGGACAGTCCGGCTCTAAGCTCGTACTCACTGCTCTACCCTGCCTCTGTGGCAACCACCCTGGCCAGAGAGGAGGACTCGGTCTCCCTGCTAGACACACACACACACACACACACACACACACACTCAGGGCTGGAGCTAACACTTCACCAGGAAACTTGTCAGTGACCTCCCACCCCCAGCCCCAGTGTGCCCACTCCCATAGCTGTGGGACCCCCAGGTAGGTGAAGCATGTGGGTGTAACTACGATGATTCCCACATACTGGGCCCTACGGAGGTTTGCGCTCCCCACTATCAATTAAGTCTCACCTTCTCCAGCAGCTCTGGAGGTACTGCTGAGGAAATGGGGGCTCTGGGAGGCTCCGCTGTCCACAGCAGTGTGAGGGACTGGTAGGTGCAGACCTGGGACCCCACTGGTCTGTGTCCCCGAGGCCCTCTGCTGGTCTCTAGCTACCTCTCTTTTTCCCCCAGTTAAGGAAGAAGTTTTCTCAGCCCAGACATGACCGACTTCCCTGAGCCCTAAGCTCAGGCTTATTAGGCCAATTCCAGGCATCTCAGCAGAGGGCCTACTCTGTGCCCAGTACTGGGCTAGTTGGGGGGTAACTCCAGGAGCGGGGAAGAGGCCATGGTTCTCGCCTGTCAGGTGCCCACAGAAAGGTTGGGGAGAGGAGACAAATGCCACCATCTCCCACTGCTCTCTCAGGAAACAGAGGGTGTAAAGCTGAGCGCAAGAGGGAGTTAGAGGAAGACCTGCTAGGCGGGCCAGGACGCTGCGCTGAGTGCCCCGTGTGGGCTGGGGCAAGGGAGGCGTCATGAGGGGCTTGAAGGAGCAGCCAGGCCGTCCACCTCTCCCAGGAGGCCTTGGGTCTCTCCATGGCCTCTTTCCCTGGCTGCTGATTTTTGCATCCTTGAAATAAAGGGTTCTCTGGCCCTGACCCTCCACATTCCACTCCCACACAGACCACAAGTGCTGCTATTTAAGGAGCCAGCCCAGGACCCCACGGTTGCAGCAGCCTGCTTTTTTTTTTTTTGGTCATGCTGGTTACCTAGCAACACAGCCAATGGGATTGCCAAGGAGACCAAGAGAAGGAGCGACCTAAATCATGCCATGGAACTTATCCTTTTTTCCTGCAGATGAGGTGTCAGATATATTTATTTCCACCCGGCCTCACCTTCTGGAAGGTCTTTCAGACACAACTGCAGGTATAGAACCTTGATTCCCACCTTAGTTAGGCTCTGGGCAGAGGGGAGCTCTGGCCACTTTTCCGAGGGCTGCCTGGGCCAACCTGGCAGACTGACCTGGTACACGGTGTTCCTGAGGTGGGTGGAGAGTGCACCCAGAACAATCTCCTGCTGTGCCAAAGGCAAGGGTGGGCATAACCCACCGCCTCCAGCCCGGGGAGCCTCACCCCCATCATCCAACTCCCTGCCTGTAAGACCATTTCGTGCCTACATTGCTGGTCTGGGAAGGAGCTGGGCCAGGACACCTGCTCCCCAGATCCTGGTATGTGCCTGGCTGCAACTGGACAACTCTGAGCTTGACTCTTCTCAGTAAGGAGGCTGACGATCCCACACCTCCCAGGGTAACCTGACACCTTCTCCTAAGACCAGGGGGGTTCCAGAAGTGCCCCCAGAAAAAAAAGCTAACCTGGGTGTGTGGTGCATTCTTCTGAGGAGAGGGTCCCTAGCTTTCCTCAGCATCTCAGAGGTGTTGATGACCCACAGAAGGGTTGATGCTCGCTATTACAAGACTAGAGGCACTTTCTTTGTTTCCTGGGGGGCAGAGAGAAGCTGTCACTCGCCACTGTGAGCTGTCTGCCCAGGCTCCATGAGTGCCAGCTCCTCCCCCTCCTCTCCTGGAGGCCTCATCCCATTTGTGTTCTGAACTTTCCCTGAGCCGGGACCAGACCCTGCTGAGCCTAGAGCTCGGGTACATCATGCCATCAGCTCAGGAAGCTCTGGGAGGTGGCCAAAGTGACGGAGGAGGGGGAAGAGGTTTGGGAAGACAAATGCCGGGGTGGGAGGTGTACTTGCTCTATTGTACATCCCTGGCCTTCTTCCCCCATCAGACTGCAACATCTGCTTTTCTTCTCCCTACCCCCTAGGGCCTAGCCAGCATACCCCCATGTGTGGAAGAGGCACTGGAAAGCCTAGGAGGACCCTCCTGGGAGATGGCTGCAGGGCTAGAAATGGCAGACGGCACAGATGGGTGGGGGGTGGGCAGGCAGGAGTTCCCTCAGCCCCACAAAAGTGCCCTGGGTGTTTACAGCTCTGGGGACGATCTGTGCGCTCATGCCACCTGATTTCCTGCATTCATAGCCTCCTCAGCCCAACACCCTCAGCTCCCAGCTCCGGAAAGGCATCGTTTCATGTCACTGCTTAAAATAGAGGCTTATGTAAGTGTAACTCTCATCAGAGGAAAAACCAGGGGGTGCTGGAACAGGGTTTGGTGGGTATAGACCAAAGGCAGCCCCCTGCACTGGACAGGGCTCCTTCCAAGCGTTCTGGCCACATGCACCTCGTAGCCCTCTCCCACACTCCACTGTGGATGCTGCTGCTCTGCTCTACCCTTCAGTCCCTCCCTCTAAGCACAGTCCAGGTTCATGGGGAAGCCCTTTCCTGATGCTACAGCTGGAGGACAGGAAGAGAGCTACTGCCCAAATGGAACGAGGCTCCCCTGGCCTGGAGCCCTTGGCCCGTGCCTGTTTCATGCAGTTGTAGTAGCCAACAACTCACAGACGGAAATGCCACGATCCCATGCCCACTCAGCCTCTGAGAAAAGCATCTACAGAGTCACATGTGTACACTGGGCACACCTGTAACTCACAGATGGATTCCAGAGGGGTCTGTGTGTGCCCCTCTCATGCCCCCAGTGTCCTGAGGATTAAAATCAGCTGCTTGAAGTTTTTGATTCACTGTCCCATCCCCTGCCCACCTCAGTGAGGGACTAAAGGGGAGCAGAGCCCCTGAGGGTGCATGTGCAGCCCCAGGACATGCCCCATGGTGCCTGGTGTGAGCAGGGTCTTACCTTCCCACATGCCACCATGGAGAGGGCCACTTGGTACCAAAGGTGGAATTTCCCGAACGCAAACTTCATGGCTCGCTCCAGGCACTAGGAAAGGGAGAGGGTCAGCACTGCCCCTCCAGGGGTCCCCCCCTCAGCCCATCCTGCTCCATTCCAGGGTGATCACTACCCAGTCACTTTACAGGAGGCTGTGCTGGGTTCCTGTCAGAAATCCCAGGGGGTCACCTGTTCCTGCCACGGGCACCCTGTGTGGCCTTGCACCCCACTCTCACCCTCTCTGGCTCTCGGTTCCCACATTCCCATGTGAATGCCTCACAGGGTGACAGTGAAAAGCAAATGAAATGAGATTTACTAAACTGCTTTCAAAACGTGGACATTCCATAAGAATAATGGCTGACGTTTATTATTACTGGGCACAGCACCACTCCCAGCCTTTTACATGCATTCCCTCATTTATTCCTCCCAACAACCCAGTGAGGTGGGTTCTCTAATTCCCCCATCTGAAGAGGAAGCTGAGGCTTGACTGATTGCCAGTCCCAGGGCCAGCAAGAGGCAGAGCAGGCTGACTACACAGCCCATGGATAGAATGCCACCCAAATGTAAGGCTCTTCTTCATTCTGCTCTTCTCTATTACCATGGAGAAAATGGACTGCTTCACCCACCTGTCCGATTCTGGGCAGCCCGCAATCAGCGGCAGCCTGGTGAGCTCTAACAGTCCCCAACAGAAGTGGTTCCAGCATGTGAGGCCAGGATTTACCATGCGGCCAGGGTCAGCCAGGATAGGGGGACAGAGGGCAGGTGTACAGGACCAGACAGCATGTCCTTTAAGAGCTCAGTGGCCTGGGTTCGCACGATGGCTCGACATGCACTCCATGCCCCATCCCAGGCACACAACCACCTCTCTGGGTTCACCTTCTTCCCTGGTGAACTTGGGATTCCACCACCCATCCCTCCCGCACTGAAGAAGGTGTCATCTGAAGGCACCCTGAAAGGTGCCTGGTGTGAGCAGGGGCTCAGCAGATGCCACCATCCACCCTCTCAGGAGCCTTCCATGGAAAGAGAAGCTCCTGCCGAGAGGCCCACCACTGTACAGAGAGCTCCTCTTGGTCCCAGCCCACATCTGAAAGCTCAGAAATGGGTGTGTGCCATCTGCGCTGTGGGCAGGAGAAAGGGGCAGCTCGGTGCTTCTGGCTTTGCCATGGAGCACGCCCCAGCAGGGCTTGCCCAGGAGAATGGGGTGCTCTGCCTAGCCTGGGTGGGAGGGGTGTCCAGGTTTCCACCCCACACCCAGCCCAGAACCCTGCCAGGAGAGGCAGTTACTAAAGGCCAGTGTCATCTCTGGGGAAACTCTGCTTCCCTGTACAATACCATGTATTCTTCCAAAAGAAAAATATATAAAAATATTAGTAAAACAAACAAAAAAAACACCCTGCCTGGCCAGCTCTCCCAGCACTGGAGATGGAACAGTCCTGAGCCTGGTCTCCCAAGGACTGTGCTGTCCCCCTTGACGGAAACACGTAAGGGACAATGCAGGGAGACCAACAGTGGCTCCATCTGATTTCTTCTTTCGCCACCTGTCTCTTGGAGAGGGTGAGGCCAGCCATACCTCAGAGAGCATGACGTACTGCCCCCTCCTGCCCAGCGTGATGCTCAGGAGGTCATAGATGGCCGAGGCGTTCTGCAGGCTCCCCTCCCGGTCTTCCTCCTGCTCTGGCGCCCGGCTCAGCACCACATCCCGAGCCGCCTGTGGGGAGACGTGGTTAGGGAAAAAGCGAGGCCAGAAAATAAGTGGGTGCCTGTCCCCACAAGGTCCTTGCCTCAGAGGCCCAATGACTGCCCCCCTTTTGCTGCTGACCCAGGCCACACTCCCAGAGTCAGACAGAGCCTTTCCCCACCCCTGTGGGAAAGAGAGAACACCCTCCACCCATAGCCCAGGTTGGGGGTGAGGGCTTAAGGTCCTGGTATTCAATGGTTTATTCTGCAAAACTCAAACCTACAAAACAGTTGCAAGAATAGTACTATGACAGTAAACCCAATTGTGAACATTGACATCTGCTTTGTCTCTCTCTCCAACACATAATGATATGACAGTCAGTTAACAGCACGACCCTTCACCCCTAAATGTTGGAAGACATTCTTTTTGTAACCACAATAGAAATGCCAGTTTCAGGAAATGTAAAATTGATATGGCTATCCTCTAATACCAGCTCATTCAGATCTCGCCATCTGTCCTGTCGATGGCATTTCTAGTAGTTTCCTCATTCCAGGGTCTGATCCAGAATTGTGCCTCACCTTCGAGTGCCATGTCCCTGCAGTCTCCTTTCATCTGGCAGTCCCTGAGTCCTTCTCTGTCCTTCAGGACAGTAGCATTTTTGAGGATATAGGCCATGGAACAGCTCTTTCTATGTTTATAATTGCCCACTCACAGAAAGAGCTGCAGGTAGTATTTGGACCTATCTAGATCAGGTGGGTGGCTCACGGGAGGAACTGGTTCAGGCTATGCCCTGTGCAGCCCTCTTCTCTTCCTCTGCAGGTTCCCCCATCCCTCTGATGAGGTCCTCAGTCCTTCTTCCCATCCATGTCCAGCTATTTCTATCTTGACTGCCCTGACCACCCAGCTCTCCTCTCTGTCCCTCCCCAGGAAGTCCCCCCCACAACATGAAGCCTTTGAGCTTGGGGTCCTGCACTCAAGGAGTTCAGTAGCTCAGAGTTGCCAGGTGGCTGCTCAGGGAGGGAAGGGACAAAGGGAAACGTGCATCAGGAACAGGTGAGTCTGTACAATCTGCAGCGGGGAGCTTGGGATCAGCAAGCCTGAAATCTCCCCATCAGGGACTTGGCATCCTCTGGTTCTGTGGCCTGTGGCATGAGGCCCCACCCCCTCTTATACACCCATCCACCTGGGGATAGCACTGGGGCTTGGGAGCAGCTGAATAGGAATCATAGGGGTCTCTGAGCCGAGTAGCAACAGGACAGGGACCATGCTGGGATGCTCTGGGAACCCCTGCATCTCCTACACACATACACACACACACACACACACACACACACACACTCTCTCTCTCTCTCAGCACTGTGCCTGAGCTGAAGCAAAGCTGGGTTCTGGGCAGATGCTCCACTGGCTGCCCCAGTATCCTCACTTCTTCTCTCTTGTACAAAGGGGTCTCTTCCCAGCATTTCCCTCCCTCTATCCATGTGTTGGGAATCACCCTCCTCTACTTTTCCACATAGGAACCTCAGAACCAAGAGCTTGGTCTGCTTGAAAGAATACAAGGGAGCTATTTAGCCCTTAAAACCCAGATCCAGATAACCCTTCCCATCCATAGATGGGTCCCCACAACCTCCCTCTGCACAGAGTACAACCCCTCCTCCTGGTCAGGGGTGGAGACTCCCAAGGCCAATTGGCTGCAGAGGCATAACCCCTATGGCCTTTGGACAGCAGGCTCTGGATCTGTCTTGCTGTGCAGGTCTGAAATGTGTTCCCATAGAGGCTTCTGGAAGCCTGCATGACCCAAGGAAGTGACTCACTCATGTGGACATTTCAGTAAGGCAGGCTGGTGGCCAGGGACCCTGACAGTTGCCACTCCAGCCACAATAGGCAAGGGCCACCACAACCCCAACGGACATGACATAGCCCCAGGAGGGGGTGCTGGGGTACCAGATGCCCAGAAAGGCTAAGCACCACGGCCAGCTTGGTAAACGAGAGCTGACCAGGAACAACAAAGAGTTAAGGGAGAGAAGCAGAGAGGGAAAGTGCCAGAGAAATCCCCCACCTTTCCGTTGAAATCCACCCACACAGGCACCAACAGGAAGAGAAGAAATCCTAAGGAGAGGCTTGGCAGGAACCGTCACTGAGCTGAGAAGGCACACAAAGCTCCCTGGGCCTGGCCACGCACCCCCTCACTCCTGTACCTCCAACTCTGGCCGCCCAGGGTGTGGACCTAAGAAGTAGCTTCCACCAGGCAGCAATGGCAGAGGGCAGAGGTTAGGGTATGAGAGTGGGAGAGGCCCTGCCCTCAGTGAGGGGCCACAGAAACCTGATGCTGCAGCGGTATACGAGGCACGCACAGAGTGGAAGCTAATCTAGAATCCCAGCGGGAGACAGGTCTTCATGGAAAGGGGGCAGGGCAGGCAGCCCAGGGGGCTGGTTTCTCCGTGGGGCACATCCAGGCTCTGAGAACCACCATGCAGACCAGTGTCCCTGAAGATATGGTGAGCAGCAAGCTGGCACCATAGGCCTCAGCTCTGATTGGCCTGTCCTTGAAGAGTAGCCCCTGCCAGACCATCCTCTCCCAACCCCCTCCCAAACTGCCCGAGGATAAAGTCTAACCTCTTTTCTGTGGCTGCCATACAAGGCCCTTCACCATAAGGCCCTGCCCACCTGGCCAGGCTCTCCTGCCCACTGGCTCCCTATTCTTCCCAGAGCCTGTCTTTGCTCCCTGTCTACCTGGATGCCTTTTGGCTCCTCACAGATCAACTCGGGTATCCATCCTTCCTTACCTCACCAGGTGAGGCTGGATGCCCTCGTCCTCTCCCAACTCCAGGCACACCCAACTGGGTCACCTGTTCTGGGTCAGGGGCAGGTCTTGCTGTCTCCAGACTCCCAGCCCTAGCACAGGCTCACACATAGCCCTGTTCTCAGGCCATATCTGGAGAATGAGTGACATTTGAGAGAAAGATTTCTGGGCCTGGTGTGGAAACATCCTCTTATTGTCCTAGACATTAACCTAGAACAGAACAGTGTCTCTGAACGTGTGCCTGCTAGGAGGGAGAGTGGATTTCCAGCCCTGGGCATGAATTAAGTTTGGAGAACACAAACAGAAGAGAGGAGGAAGCAGCTTCTCCCAGTCTGGGGCCCGAGGCCTGCCGAGTGGGCAGACAGCAGAGAAGGCATGTCTCAGGGCTCCTCAGCATTTGACACCTGTATCACAGGGGAAGTGTGGTTCCCCAGAGGAAGGCCGAAAGCAGAAATTTGCATAGCAGTTGCTACGACTTTGGGGCAGCGCTGCAGTGATGCTCCGGCACTGGCTGGGTGCGGGCAGCTGTGCCAGGAAGAAGGATGTTGCGGGGGCCAGTGGCTGGGTGGGAACTCATGTGCAGCTCAAGCTCTCTGTGGCCTTCAAGTCCCTGCCCAGGGCACCACAGCTGTGCAGCTCCCTCCCCCCGTGGGCTCAAGGCCCTCAGGCCACACAATGCTCCCAGATTCATTGCAGCAGCACTCTTTTCCCTCCACCATTTAAATGACCTCACTAGGAAATCCTTTCAATCAAATGCATGACAGAGGAGGATGCTCTGGTGACCCTTAAAGCAACACTAGTCTTCTCACCACCAGCCCCTTACTGCTCTTAGAATACAGAATAGTTTCCTCTGGTTTCTCCCTGCATAACCCCCAGGCCCACCTCCGGGATGCCCTACTCTTGTCTAATGCATGCACTTCCTCCCAGGCAGGCCATCCCCCCTCCTAGCCTTGGGCCCTCTGGCCCTCTGGCTGTCCTCTAAGGAGTGGCTTCCTCCAGACTAAAGGACGTTCATCTCAAGCCCAGTGGGTCAGAAAAGGGAAAGCCAAAGAAATGTGCTCCTCCCTGTCCCCCATCATCCAAGAGTTCGTCACTGCCAGTGTGACCCATGGTTAGTCTTTGGACAAGTACCCATCAGGCAACTATGGGGCCTTATCAGAAGGGAATCTCCACTCCTCCAGGCAGGCCAGCCCAGGTGAAACCCAAGGTAGGGTGACTGTTCAAAAAGCCATCCCTTGTGTGCCGTGCATTAGCCGTCCAGGAGCTGAATTTTCACGTCCATCATCTCATTTGGCATCACAGTAACTCCATGGAAGGGCAGGAGGAAGCCACTGTACTCTCTTTGCAGATGGGGAAACTAAGCCCAGAGGGGAACTAACATGTGCAAGGTCCCCGGAAGTTAAGGATGAACCTCAGTGGCCAGTCCAGGATGGCCCTTGCTGCCCCATGGGCCTTCTCTGCCAGCCCCAGGTCGACCCTCTGCTGGCTGCAGGGTGTCAGAGGGCACCGACCCTCACTGCCACCAGGCCCAGTTTCTCTCTCCTCTCTAGTCCCGGACAGAAACAGGTAAGAGGAGGATAGGGAGCCAACTGTGGGGCACGTGATAAGTGGCATCTCAGAATTCTCACAGTGACCTTCTCGTGTATTACTGTCCTACAGATGAGAAGACAGAAGCCTAGGGAGGCCACCAAGGCATGTGGATAGGTGGTTGGGGCCCAGATTAGAACTGAGGCATTCTGACTTCACCCCCTGCCTCCAGATGCCTCTGAGGAGGTATCCATTGGAGGCCCTAGGATGCTCTGCTTATGGAAAAAAACAAAGGAAAACACGAGGCAGGGGGCCTTCCCAATCAGGACCCAGGTGCTGCGTCTTCGCAGGGGAAAAGCTCCTTGGGCAGCATGTCTGGGGCCCTGCTCAGCCCTATTCTCAGACACGGTCACTCCGCTGGCCAAGGACTGAGTCTCAGCGCCTGCTGCTGACACCCACAGAATCGCCCGGGAAGGGAGTCTCCTGGCAGCCTCTGGGACTGGCGCCTGCTCCTCCCAGAGGATGTTGTCATGTTCAGCTCACGCTGTCATCCCTCTCCAGCAGCTCTCAAGCTGCCAGTCCCCAGAGCCAAGAAATAACATGCTCGGTGATGTGTCCCATCAACCCAGCGACCCAGGCCAGGCCAGACCCACCTCAGCCCCTGCTCTCCCGCTGTGCCAGGCTGCTGCAGCAGAAACAGCTCTTCCTGCCAGCGAGAGCGAGAAGCTCTCCCACCTCTGCTCAGCTGAGGGCTCTGAGCTGGCAGCGTTATCAGACCCTTTACCATTGCAGCCTGCAGCCGAGCAGGGCCTGGTGTCAGAGCAAATCAGGTGCCAAAAGCTGGAACACTCTGTGCTCATCTGCTGAGTCCCAAATGGAATCAAGCCCAGGAAGCACTTTTTTTTTTCTTTTTTAACTGAATGGTATCCTCAGACTCATTTTTCCCTCAACCAGATCTAAACCCAAATGTTTTCTTAAATGATGAGTCATAGCCAAGTATTTATCAGGACAAAATGAACACGTGCCAAACATTTACAATGTACAGGCAGCTTCGTGTTCATTTTCTTGTCTCTTCTGCCCCAAAACCTACAAGAGGGGCCTTATTAGCCTCATTTTACAGATGAAAAAATGAAGTATTGGGGAGATAAGAAACTTGGCCAGGCTACGCAGGTTGTGAATGACAAATTCGAGTCAAACTGCCAGATGCCTGGCACTGGGCATGGCACAGTTAGCTTGTTAACCTGCAGGGCCCCAGTCCCTAGAGGCTTGATCTCCACCTCCCCACCGTCACTGAACACCAGGCCTTTGTGCCCTTCCAGTTCCCAAGCACCTGACACCAGCAACAACTTCTCTACTAACTAATGGAACAGGGACCCAAGGATTCAGTTCACTTTAGCACAGATATTTATGCCCTAGGTCAGTAGTTTAGAAATGGCCAAGACTCCCATACCTCCTGGTTCACCAACTGTTTGAGAAAACCAGGTTGGTTTTGATACATGATTCTTCCAAAAACTAGAATATGCATTTGGTCTCAACAGATTGGGGTAATTCCTTCTGATATGGAGACAAGGATTTCCTCCACATCCCTGGATACATACTCTACTAGGTAGAGGTACATCTGGAACATGGGCTGCTATGATTGAACTGTTCATCACTGTATTTCCAGTGCTGACCAAGTGCTCAAACAAGACTGGATAGACAGACAGATGGATGGGTGGGTGGATGGATGGAAGGATGGCTGAACAGATAGGTGGGTGGGTGGATTTCAAATTGCACTTTTGGTTGCAAAGACTCAAAACTGAGTCTAAAACACAATCCTTCTTTGACCAGTTATAAATCATATCCCTTGCAATTCTGTGAAAGCATTAAGGTGTCTGTTTACCTCTTGAAAGACAAGAGGTTCCCTATTCATTCTGATCAAACTCAGCTAGTAACAAAACCCATATCCCAGGCACCACCTCCACACCCGGACCCTAAGCAGGCTACTCCTCTGAGTTCCAAACCACAAAACTGGGGCTCATGTGCTCAAGAAGCCTGCAAACACCCTTGCTCTGGCAACAGCTTTCACTGCAGCATATACATTCTGTAGGTATTAGAACCCAGGCAGCCAGCTGCTGTTGTAGAGGTTTCTCCCTAGCATTGGTAGCCAAACCCAGCCAGCATCAAAGGGAGATGAGGAAAACCTCACAAATAGATGGAAGGCAGGCTGAGCCTCAGGGCTCAACTAAGGGGTCAGAGCAGGAGTTTGGGAGGCTGGCAGAGTGATATCCATACCTGATTGACCTGCAGGGAAAGAGGTTGCGAAACAAGGGCAAGAGAGAAGTCAGAGGTGTGGCCACTCTGAGAAACAGTTCCGAGTGGACAGATCCAGGTTCCAGGTGGAAAGCCTTCTGTAGATGAGGCGCCAAAGCTACGTCCTTTGCCAAGCTCTTCCTCAAATTCCTAAAGTTTCTAAATGTGTGACAGGTTGGGTGTGAGTAAAAGGAAACAAATCACCCAGGCCCGGAAGAGTGCCTCCTCCTGGCCAGAGAACGCAGGGTCTGAGGATGCCGCAGGAAGTTCCCCAAGTCCTGCCTGGCCGGCCAGCCTGGGCCCCAGAAGTCTCCTGGGCAGGCCAGCCAGCCACATGGCCTCTTGCAAAAGGAGATGTTTGGAGATAAACCACATATTTAGGAAAGTCCACCTTGGTTCCAAGTGTGGACCACCTTTTATAAAAGGCCACTCTCCACTTTGGGGCATAGGGCAGCTTGAGAGTTTGTGGGGAATAACCATAATGGGAAGGCCTCTGAACTCTGGTCCTGGATACCCAGATCAGTTTGAGGCCACAGGAAATGGCCTGGGGAGACAGAGTCGAGCCTTGATTCCTCCCAGGGAGGAAAAAATGATGACCATTCTCACACTGGCAGGCATGTCCCTGTTTACAAAGCCCTCCTGATGCCTCGTCTCACTTGATCCTCAAAACCACTATACCCCCTTGGCCCCTCTGCAGCTGGAGCAGAGAATTGGAGCAGTTAGTAAGTGGTAGACTCGGGGCTGCATTCAGGTGCTTGGAATCCACGGCCTATGCGTTGGAAGCTCTTTAGGGAGATGGACATGATTTGGATCATAGCCACAAGGATTATCAGTGTGTGACCTTGACCAAGACACGTACTTGTCCTGGACCTTACTTTTCTATCTATAATATGGGAGCATAGTAGTATTAGAATGAATCCTATGAAACTTGTTTTTCTGAGAGCTCAACATAATGCCTAACCTATATGAGATAATCAGCTTGGAACATGCCAGAGAAAGGACCTGAAATGTTCCTATTCTACCTTTTTACCTGCCCCCTGGGGAGAGGTACTGGTTTATGGCTGAGCTCCATAACTAGGAGTGGGTTCGGTCTGTGGTCAGAGTGAGGGCCCATTTTCTGTGAAAAGTGCACTGTCTTCCCATGAAAATCAGATCCGGCCCTTGGTACCTCATCCCCACACTGAGCTACCCAGCTAGATGACCCCTCCCTGGAGCAGGCATTTACCCGTCACAAGCACGCCCCACAAGCTCTCGGGACCACGCCCAGCCAGCCTGCCTTTGGGATCCGAATATCTGTGCCCCCCCGGGGGATGCTCGGATCTGACAGACCAGGCGTGCTGAGGAATATGACTCCTAGCCCTCTAGTCCAATGTCCTTCCTCCTGTCTACTTGCTGGGGTCAACCCTTGAGCCAGAGGTAACCCTCTGATCTAAGTTCTCTAAATGAGCCCTGGCATCATACAGTCCCAGGTATCCAAAGGAATAGACGTTTCTGGTGGTTCAGGGGCCCAGCTCATAGGGCCTTGGCTTTTTTAAAAAATTGATGTAGAGTTGATATTTTGTTAGTTCCAAGTATGTGGGGTCTTGGCTTCTTAAACTTCACTTCCACACACTGCTCTCATATACACTGTTTAAAAATACCTAGTTCTCAAAATGGGGGTCCCCAGGTCACAGGCTCTGAGGCACCCCTCAGTCAAGGTCTTGGACCCAGCCTTGGACTCCCCCTACCATGCCACAAGGACAGCACCTCTGCCCCTGGCTTTTGTGCCCTCGCCCACCCCTCTTCCACCTCCCTTGGACCAGTCCAGGCCATCCTTCACCTCACCACCTCCGGGACCACCCAGCCACAGCTGTCTCCTTCACTGAGCCTCCAAAGCCTATAAGTGTGTGTGCATGCACGTTTGCCTCTTCTCCCTGCCCAGGGTAGGGGAAATGGGTCTTATGAAAAAATCTGAAGAGCACTTCACATGCACTTTGTTCAGCACACCTTACCCCCTCTGCTTTATTTTCCCATAGCACTCAGACATGTACCCCAGGTATTTTAGTAGTTAATTTATTGCCCGCCTCCCTCACTAGAACACATGCCCCATGAGGGCAGGGACTTTACTCCCTTTTGTTTGCTGCTGCATCTCTGGCATCTAGAACAGGGTCTGACACAAAGTAGATGACAACTGACAAAGAGTTGTGTGAATGAGTGAAATCCTTCTACAGGCACGCATACCTCTGTGAGTTACTACCATCTCATAGGTAGGCAATCTGAGGCTCAAAGGGATTAGATTTGCCCATGGGCCTTGGCTAATGAGCAGCTGAGCTGGACCATGGATAGAGGCCTTCTGCCTTGAAAATGCATGCACCTTCCATGCCCCTGTGTTGGCCACAGAACCCAGCACAGAGCTGGTCAATGCATACTGTTGACTTGCTGAAAACCATCTTTTGTAATCCCAGAAGAGGTGGTAGCTACTCTTTTTTTTTTTTTTATTCTCAGAGTTTTTATTGTTTTAGGTCTAAGATGTCTTTTGAGTTAATATTGATCAAATGGTTGTTAACAACAATAAAATTCT